ATAATGTAAATCGTAAGGAAATCCACTGGGGATTTATATTCCAATGGTGTTGGGTTAGCGGGTAAGCGTGGCTTGGGCAGTCACGTGGAGTCAGCATGGTGTGGAGGCTGGCGTCGGAGATGCTGTGTATTTAAGCTAAGTTTTGTTGTTGTGTACTCCTTTTGTTTAGTTAACTCAGGCCATAGACTCTTCTATGGTTTACCTGTATGTCCACCTAGGCTCTGATATGGTCAGGGTGCTGTGGTATTGGAGTAGTGAAGGCCGGATGCTGGCCAGCCAAAGTTTTATGGTTTCCTGGACCTCCAGCTGCCTGTTTCTTGTGTACCTTTATTTGGACGTTTAGGATAGGAGATATATAAAAGTGTTTTCTAGAGTGTGTATATAGTGTTATGTTGAATAAATAGATTTATTTTCCTAACTAGGATTTTTGCCTAACCTTCTGTTAACCAACCCATTGAAGTACAAATGCTGGTTTAGTGATTTCTGTTTTGACTGGGATAGCCCTGGGTGGCCTTGTTATGCCTGAGAGGTGTGTAACTTTTACCTTTGCTCTTAGACAAGGCTCTAGCCTCCAGCTATCCCACATTTCTGCGTAACAACCACAACATCTCTGTTATTGTACCTCAACATCCGAGTTACTGTAAAACACCAGTATAACAGTACATCAACATCTGAGCGGAAATTCAAAAAACATCTGAGAGACAGTATTAGGAAATCTGAGTGACAGTACAACACCTGAGTGACAGTTCAGAATTTGAAAGACAGTACTACAACACCTGAGAAACGGTATTGTAACACCTGAGTGGCAGTACAACTACACTTGAGTATCAGTAAAACATATAAATGTCAATATAACACTTGTGTTACAGCAAAATATTATTTGATTGACACTACCACAGTACAATAACATCTGTATGACAGTAAAACACCTGATTAACAGAATAGCAACACCTCTGTGACAGTAATACAACAACACATGACTTACAGTACCACAACACCTGAGTGACAGTACCACACACTTGAGACACTATACAACACCTTAGAGATAGTACCATAACACCTGACAGACAGTACCACAACACGTGAGTGACAGTAACAGAACACCTGAGTGACAGTAACACATCTGAAAGACAGTATGACAACACCTGAGAGATAGTACCACAACACATGAGTGACTGTACCACAACATCTTAGTGACAGTACCACAACACTTGAGTGACAGTGCCATAACATCTGAGACACAGTACCATAACACCTGAATGACAGTACCACAACACCTGAGTGACAGTACCACAACACCTGGGAGACAGTGCCACAACACCTGAGTGACAGCACCATAACATCTGAGAGACAGTACCACAAAACCTGAGAGACAGTATCACAACATCTAAGTGACAGTACCACAATATTTGAGAGACAGTACGACAACACCTGAGGGATAGTACCACAATATCTAAGTGACAGTACCACAGCACCTGAGTGACAGTAACACAACACCTGAATGACAGTAACTCAACATCTGAGTGACAGGACCACAACACCTGAGTGACAGTACTGCAACACCTGAGTGACAGTAACACAACACCTGAGAGATATTTCCACAACATCTAAGTGACAGTACAACAACACCTGAGTGACAGTACTGCAACACCAGAGTGCCAGTACCACAACTTCTGAGTGACGGTACTGCAACATCCGAGTGACAGCACCACAACAATTGATTGACAGTACCACGACACCACAACAACTGAGAAACAGAACAACATATGAGTGAGAGTACCACAACACGTGAGTGAAAGTACAACTCTTGAGTGGCAGTACCAAAACACCTGAGTGACAGTACCACAACATCTGAGTGACAGTACCACAACACCTGAGTGACAGTACCACAACACCTGAGTGACAGTACCATAACATCTGAGAGACAGCACCACAACATCTGAGTGACAGTACCACAACACCTAAGTGACAGTACCACAACACCTGAGTGACAGTACCACAACACCTAAGTGACAGTACCACAACACCTGAGTGACAGTACCACAAACCCTTAGTGACATTCCCACAACACATGAGTAACAGTACCACATCACTGATTGACAGTACCACAACACCGGAATGATAGTACAACAACACCTGAGTGAAAATCCCACAACTGAGTGGCAGTACCAAATCACCTGAGTGACAGTACCACAACACCTGAGTGCCAGTACCACATTACCTGAATGACAGCATCACAACACCTAAGTGACAGTACCACAACACCTGAGTGACAGTACCACAACACCTGAGTGACAGTACCACATTACCTGAATGACAGCATCACAACACCTAAGTGACAGTACCACAACACCTGAGTGCCAGTACCACATTACCTGAATGACAGCATCACAACACCTAAGTGACAGTACCACAACACCTGAGTGACAGTACCACATTACCTGAATGACAGCATCACAACACCTAAGTGACAGTACCACAACACCTGAGTGACAGTACCACAACACCTGAGTGCCAGTGCCACATTACCTGAATGACAGCATCACAACACCTAAGTGACAGTACCACAACACCTGAGTGACAGTACCACAACACCTGTGTGACAGTACCACAACACCTGAGAGTCAGTACAACAACACCTGTGTGACAGTACCACAACACCTGAGTGACAGTACCACAACACCTGAGTGACAGTACCACAACACCTGAGTGACAGTACCACAACACCTGAGTGACAGTACCACAACACCTGAGTGACAGTACCACAACACCTGAGTGACAGTACCACAACACCTAAGTGCCCATACCACATTACCTGACTGACAGCATCACAACACCTAAGTGACAGTACCACAACACCTGAGTGACAGTACCACAACACCTGAGTGACAGTACCACATTACCTGAGAGTCAGTACAACAACACCGGAGTCACTGTATATTCAGTCCATCCTCTTAACCACAGTCATCATGACATTGTTATTAAAATATTCAACTGGATGACTATTGATGGAGTCTTGAATTGTTGCAATGTGAATGTTTTACATCAGTCATGTTCAGTTGGTGCTCCTTCTCCAGCACTTCCTTAAAATGTTTTACATCAGTGGTGTTCAGTTGGTGCTCCTTCTCCAGCACTTCCTTAAAATGTTTTACATCAGTGGTGTTCAGTTGGTGCTCCTCCAGCACTTCCTTAAAATGTTTTACATCAGTCATGTTCAGTTGGTGCTCCTTCTCCAGCACTTCCTTAAAATGTTTTACATCAGTCATGTTCAGTTGGTGCTCCTTTTCCAGTACTTCATTAAAATGTTTTACATCAGTCGTGTTCAGTTGGTGCTCCTTTTCCAGTACTTCATTAAAATCACAGACATTATGGTAATATTGTAAAAACAGTCAAAATGGTTGACATATGAGTTTCTTAAACAGTAAATATCTGACTGTATTTCTTTATCCATGAGCAGTGGTTGCTTGGCTTATGTTTGCTTCCCAAGGATTTTGTCACTTTTCGTTTTGTAGCTTAATCTAACTTAGAAATGTACAGCAAACCGAACTTGAAGAAGTGACTTAATTATCAGAGGGGACGGGTTTGTGTATAATGTTTAGTAGTTACTACCATGCTCACTTATTTCAATGATAAATAACTGTTCCTTTAGGTTAGAAAATATCCACTGAAAAGTAATTATTCTTTGGCACTGGCTATTCTGAATATTAATGTAATAATTATAATGTGAACATTTGTTATGTTGAAACTGATAAATGATCAGAACAATCTGTGCTTGTATGGTTGTATGTGTTGACATCAACTGTGTACAGTATATAAATGTAATGTTGGAGTCTCATCTCCTGGTCCTCCCTCTTAACTTGCCTCTTGCCAGATTCACTTCCTCTTACCTTGTCATATTATTTTAGAACTATACATGGAGTCTGCTTCATCTGCTTCTTCCTCAAGGTCATTTCACTTTCTGATCAACCTGAGATTGAAGACATACTTCTTGACAATTGTACGACTTATCTCAGTTTCTCGCTACTAATACAATCTCTCTGTTTACGCAGCAACTTTCTGTATTTTAAATATCTTCCCTGGTTCTCCTCTGCTATATCGTTTGGTTCATTTTCTCCAGCTTCTCGTAGCTCTTTCCCTTAATTCTGGAAATAGCCTTGTTGCGTATCTCTGTACTAGTTTCTGCCACTTTCATGTTTTGCATAATTCACGGTAACCCTGATGTATATTGTATAGGGCGGAGTCTGGAGGAGCTTGAGATAATCAGTCCCTCAACCCAGAGTCGATGAGTTTAGTCCATTAATCTTAAGAAAGGTATAACATATGAGTGGAGAAGTGGCTTATATACAATAAATAAGTGAGGAGAAGCAAGGGTAGGCGGCGTCACCAGTGGAAAAATCCACTGGTGTAAGTGGGTCATGACTTCAGATTTGTCAAGAGTTGAGGTATTCACTGTATCTTGATCCCAGAATGTTGATGTTGTATTACACATGCGATGTAAATGATTTACAAAACTGATAAGTTAAAGAATGAGAAACTTGTGCACAGTTCGGGAGTTCTTCAATACTTGCCTAAACTGTAGTCATGACCTACTTACATTAGTGGATATTTACTCTGGTGACTCCACCTCCTTCTGCTTCAGCTCGCCTGACTGCAGTATATAAATCAATGAATATGCTCTATTTTTCTCAAGACTGATGGACTGAATACATGAACACCAGGCTGAGGGACTAATTACCTGAAACTCCTCCTTATCTTCTATTGTTCGTCTCTGTATTGGATTAAAGAAGCCACTGACTGGCGAAAAGTTTCCACAGTAAAGATTTCAAAATATTACTCAAGTATTTCAATCTTCAATAGTGAGAGAAAACAGCTTGTAATTGGGTTTCATGTAATAAGCAAAAACCATGATGGATGGAAAACAAATCAGACAAAAGTCAGTTGGATCCTCATTCAAGGATACTTTGTAATTAATTTTGGATATAAAATATATTTGCTATTACCTCAGCTTGGGTGCTGCACTTGGCCTCATCATTATACCATGAAGAGTTTGAAGTGATGATGTAACTCAAGAAACACCGACCAGACGTCCCGTTGTTTGTTCTCTGCTGCCCACTGACACTCCAGACTCCAGACATTTTTCAATATCTTCTTCATCACTTCTCATGGCTGTGGTAACACCAACAATCATGTACTAGAAGTGTGAAAAATAATTCCAGTGAAAATACTCAGGAAAAAAATTATAAGAATTTTATTATGATACTTTCTCTCATTAAATATTTCATTGTTGCTGATACTCAGTTTTTCACAAAAATAAAAAATTATTGGAATATCAGGTATCAAACAACGTTCAGTTTTACATAATTACTGTTAATCTGTTTTGGTAATTTTTCATTAACTGCCAGATTATTCAGCATTTATTTCCCTACATTGCACTCCAGTTCTTAGTTTTCCATTCAAGGTTTTTCAATTCTTAATTCATAATATCTTATTCAAATAATTTAAGTATCTTTCTCTTCTTAAACTCTAATTTTATTATTGTTCTAAAGCTACTGTAACATTCTCCATCTCCAATGACGTTACATTATACAATATATTTGATAATATGTTGCATAATGTAATACAACATGGATTCCACCAAATATTTACGCATAAGAAAATACTTCATGTTTTGGTACGTGTAATACTTTATGTTAAGGCATGTGTAATACTAAATGTGAAGGTATGTGACATTGGAAAACACACATACACACACACACACACACACACACCTGCACTTGATCAAGCACGTCAAGAAATTAGAGAAAGTACAAAGGTTTGCGACAAGGTTAGTTCCAGAGCTAAGGGGTATGTCGTATGAAGAAAGGTTAAGGGAAATCGGCCTGACGACACCGGAGGACAGGAGAGATAGGGGAGACATGATAACGACACATAAAATACTGCGCAGAATAGACAAGGTGGACAAAGGCAGTATGTTCCAATAGGGGACACAGAAGCAAGAGGTCACAATTGGAAGTTGAAAAGCCAGATGATTCAAAGGGATGTTGGGAAGTATTTCTTCAGTCAAAGAGTTGTCAGGAAGTGGAATAGCCTAGAAAGTGATGTAGTGGAGGCGGGAACCATACACAGTTTTAAGATGAGGTTTGACAAAGCTCATGGAGCAGAGAGAGAGAGAGACCCAGTAGCAACCAGTGAAGAGGCGGGGCCAGGAGCTATGAATCGACCCCTGCAACCAAAACTAGGTGAGTACAAATAGGTGAGTACACACACACACACATGTTTACACCCACACATTCTCACATATTCAGACTCACACAAACTCTTTCTCCCCTGCGCCCTTCCACGCCAATCCCTCACCCAGAGCAGAGATGCTGTGTGTACCATTAACAAAGATCTTCAACATATCCACTGAAACTGGGCAACTCCCTGAGGTATGGAAGACGGCAAATGTAGTCCCAATTTTTAAAAAGGGAGACAGACATGAGGCATTAAACTACAGACCTGTGTCACTAACGTGTATAGTATGCAAAGTCATGGAGAAGCTCATCAGGAGGAGAGTGGTGGAGCACCTGGAAAGAAACAAGTGTATAATCGACAACCAGCACTATTTCATGGAAGGAAAATCCTGTGTCGCAAACCTACTGGAGTTTTATGACAAGGTGAGAGAAGTAAGACAGGAAAGAGAGGGATGGATCGACTGCATTTTCTTTGTCTGCAAGAAAGCCTTCGACACAGTTCCTCACAAGAGGTTACTGCAAAAGCTAGAGGATCAAGCTCAAATAACAGGAAAGGCACTGCAATGGATCAGAGAATACCTGAACGGGAGGAAACAATGAGTCATGGTACATGAAGAGGTGCCAGATTGGGCTCCTGTGACAAGCGGTGTTCCATAGGAGTCACTCCTAGGACCTGTGCTGTTTTTGGTATATGTGAATGACATAATGGAAGGGATAGACTTAGAAGTGTCCTTGTTTGCAGATGATGTGAAGTTAATGAGAAGAATCAAATCGGTCGAGGATCAGGCAGGACTACGAAGAGAACTGGACAGGCTACAAGCCTGGTCCAGCAACAAGTTCTGTGAGTTTAACCCTGCCAAATGCAAAGTCATGAAGATTGGGGAAGGGCAAAGAAGACCGCAGACACAGTATAGTCTAGATGGCAAAATACTGCAAACCTCACTCAAGGAAAAAGATCTGGGGGTGAGTATAACACCAAGCACATCTCCTGAGGCACACATCAATCAGATAACTGCTTCAGCATGCGGGCGACTGGCAAACTTAAGGAATCGTTCAAGACTCTGTATACCATTTACGTCAGACCTATACTAGAGTATGCAGCACCAGTTTGGAATCCACATCTAGTCAAGCACGTCAAGAAATTAGAGAAAGTGCAAAGGTTTGCAACAAGACTAGTCCCAGAGCTAAGGGGATTGTCCTATGAAGAAAGGCTGAGGGAAATCGGCCTGACGACACTGAGGACAGGAGGGTCAAGGGAGACATTAAATCGACATATAAAATACTGCGCAGAATAGACAAGGTGGACAAAGACAGGATGCTCCAGAGATCGGAGACAGAAACAAGAGTTCACAATTGGAAGTTAAAGGCAGATGAATCAAAGGAATGTTAGGAAGTATTTCTTCAGTCATAGAGTAGTCATGCAGTGGAATTGCCTAGAAAGTGATGTAGTGGAGGTGGGAATCATATATAGTTTTAAGACTAGGTTCGATAAAGCTCATGGAGCAGAGAGAGAGAGGACCTAGTAGCAATCAGTGAAGAGGTGGGGCCAGGAGCTATGACTCGACCCCTGGAACCACAAATAGGTGAGCAAAATTGGTGAGTACACACACACACACACACACACAGGGACGGGAAATCCTGTGTCACAAACCTACTGGAGTTCTATGACATGGTGACAGCAGTAAGACAAGAGAGAGAGGGGTGGGTGGATTGCATTTTCTTGGACTGCAAGAAGGCGTTTGACACAGTTCCACACAAGAGATTGGTGCAAAAACTGGAGGACCAAGCAGGGATAACAGGGAAGGCACTACAATGGATCAGGGAATACTTGTCAGGAAGACAGCAGCGAGTCATGGTACGTGGCGAGGTGTCAGAGTGGGCACCTGTGACCAGCGGGGTCCCGCAGGGGTCAGTCCTAGGACCAGTGCTGTTTCTGGTATTGTGTGAACGACATGACGGAAGGAATAGACTCTGAGGTGTCCCTGTTTGCAGATGACGTGAAGTTGATGAGAAGAATACACTCGATCGAAGACCAGGCAGAACTACAAAGGGATCTGGACAGGCTGCAGACCTGGTCCAGCAATTGGCTCCTGGAGTTCAATCCCACCAAGTGCAAAGTCATGAAGATTGGGGAAGGGCAAAGAAGGCCGCAGATGGAGTACAGTCTAGGGGGTCAGAGACTACAAACCTCACTCAAGGAAAAAGATCTTGGGGTGAGTATAACACCAGGCACATCTCCTGAAGCGCACATCAACCAAATAACTGCTGCAGCATATGGGCGCCTAGCAAACCTCAGAACAGCATTCCGACATCTTAATAAGGAATCGTTCAGGACCCTGTACACCGTATACGTTAGGCCCATATTGGAGTATGCGGCACCAGTTTGGAACCCACACCTAGCCAAGCACGTAAAGAAACTAGAGAAAGTGCAAAGGTTTGCAACAAGACTAGTCCCAGAGCTAAGAGGTATGTCCTACGAGGAGAGGTTAAGGGAAATCAACCTGACGACACTGGAGGACAGGAGAGATAGGGGGAACATGATAACGACATACAAAATACTGAGAGGAATTGACAAGGTGGACAAAGACAGGATGTTCCAGAGATTGGACACAGTAACAAGGGGACACAGTTGGAAGCTGAAGACACAGATGAATCACAGGGATGTTAGGAAGTATTTCTTCAGCCACAGAGTAGTCAGTAATTGGAATAGTTTGGGAAGCGATGTAGTGGAGGCAGGATCTATACCTAGCTTTAAGCAGAGGTATGATAAAGCTCACGGCTCAGGGAGAGTGACCTAGTAGCGATCAGTGAAGAGGCGGGGCCAGGAGCTCGGACTCGACCCCCGCAACCTCAACTAGGTGAGTACAACTAGGTGAGTACACACACACACACACACACACACACACACACACACACACAGCGATCAGTGAAGAGGCGGGGCCAGGAGCTCGGACTCGACCCCCGCAACCTCAACTCGATGAGTACAACTAGGTGAGTACACACACACACGTTTACACCAACAGATTCTCACATATTCAGACGCACGCACACTCCCTCCTGCACCCTTCCCTGCCAATTCCCCACTCAGTTCCTTGATCCCCCTCTCTCTCTACCCTCCTTCTCCCCCACCTCTCCCCCTTCCCCCTCTCCCTCTCCCATTCTCCCCCTTTGCTTCTCCCTCCTTCTCTCCCGGTATTCCCACCTCAATCTCCCTCACCACCACTCTCCCATTTAGCCACTGCCTACAGCTTCCTCCTCAACCTCCATCGCTCCCTAACACTCGGACAAACACTCTACAAAACAGACACACAAAATTACATAAATTTTTCATTCTGTGGCAACCAAAAAAAATTGATTGTCAGAGAGCAGGAAGGAAAACCAAGGGACTGAAGAATGAATCTGCAAAGGGAGATTTGGTAGCAGAGCTCATGAAAAGAGAACATGAATGGGAAAAGAAGCTAGAAGAACTTAGCATGAGAATAGAAGAGATGATAGATGCAGAAAGCAAGAAATGGGAGATGCAAGTCACAGCAGCAGAGGCTAAGATACACAGATTAGAAAAGGAACTGAAAAATCTGAAACATCCTAAAGAACTAAAGAACAATTATGGAATGACATCAGAGACTGCTACCTCAGCCACAAACAATGGAACTGTATGGAATGAAAGAGTGAAACTGTAAGCAGAAGCCCTATCAGACCACTGTGGAGCCCGAGAAATTGAGAGAAACACAGCAGGAGCAATTGAGGAAACTGTAGGAAATGAAAGAGGTAAGCTATATGTGGAGGCCCTAACAGACCACAGCAGCGCCCAGGGAAAGCTGAGAAGGGAAAATGACAGGAAACTGGGCCCAAGAACAATATATAGTGAAGAAACTGAAGAAAGGAAAACTGCAATAGAGGAAACTAAATCAAATCACAGTATACATAGGGACATGCAGTAGGAGAATGAAAGGGAGAG